TGTAATGTTCTTTTTCCGAGTCATATTACAAGCAATTATTTTTCATTGTACGGGCTAGTATAAATTTCAAATCAAATCTCAATAAACGAAGATTTTCAGACATTAAAAAAAGAACTGGGTCTCCATCTGTCATATCTGACCACTGCACAAGTTTGAGTCACAATTTCAAATGGAATGAAGTAAAAATCTTAGATAATGAAACTTCTTACAATAAAAGACTAATATCTGAAATGATCCACATTAAAAAGCAAAAACATGGCATAAATAGACAAAATGATACTGAAAATTTACCAGACACCTATTCTCAAATAATACAGTCTCTTTCTCCCTCATAATTTCCCCTTCTCCTGTTCTTCTTTCTCTCCTACAACATTCTATCTCTTTTTACAATTCTCCTTTTCTAATATGTTTTTCTGAAAGTCATCATTAGTTTATATCGTCTCTATGTGATAACATCTGTTCCATATCGTTGTGTTAAGGGGGACAACGCACCGAGAAGCGCGAAAAAAAGCCATTTTTCTGGATTTTTTGAAAGGAAACTTATAGCAGTAATCAAACCGATTCTTTTTATAAATGATAATACACATTTTTAAGAATATGTCAATTTTTTTTATTGAAAAATATCCAATATTCGCCGAGTAATCCTGTGATCCGTGAAGTGCCGCAAATAAAAGGCCCTCCGCGGTACGCACTCCTGCTTCATCTCTAATCATCAAAACCAAAAAGATTATTAAACTGGACAGTATAATCTAGTCTTTGTCATAGGCGATTTTGAAAATATCGATTTTTGACAAAATGGCGGACATTTGAATTTACATAGCGATTTTTAGAGAAAAATACGACCTTATTTCGCCGATTAAAAAAAAACTAAGCCACTAAAAAAAAAACCCTATGACAAGGACTAGGTAATTATGTATAGAATAAGCACAAAAAAAGATAATTGCAATTGGTTCATTAGTTTTCCAGATATTTTGCGTACCGACTTCAAAAACATGATTTCGAGAAAAACGCGTTTGAAAGTTGAACAATGAATAAATCGCAAAATTCTTCAACTTACATAGAATCATCCATGCCAGGTCCATCCATCTGAACGCATCCGCAAGTCCGCAACGTTTTTCGTCGCGTCACGAATTGGCTCATGTGAACATATTCGCGACGCTTTTCTGTAGCACCAGAAAATAGCTCCGTATGAACGGGTCGACGTTTGTGGCGCTACAAAATCGCTCGTCTGACTGAGCCCTAACTCCGTTATTTTTTCGAATTTTTGCATGCGGCTTTCACCAGACATTCTTAAGAGGTTAAGCTTGAAGAAAAGCAAAAACACGAAAATTCATAATTTTCGAAATTTCTCGGTGCGTTTTCTCCCTTAAGTTTTAACAGATTAAAATTTGTTTGAATTCACTTTAATATTATACTGACGATTAAATATATTTCAACAACATTGATTGTCTAACATGGAAGTCATTTTCATATAAAATAGGTATTTATATATGTCGAACGAATGTGAATTTATGTGATATCTGGATTTGTATTTTGTAGTATAACTTCTATTATTTTATATTGTACGATTGTAGTTCTGCATTACGATTTCACCATTTCTGTTCATGAAAATGACTTTCTCTCTGACTTACTATCCATGAGACTTACTATGATGAAGAACTACCTGACAAAGATGAATAATGGACTTATTAAAAAATTTGACACTTCTACATCAAAGTTTGTACCACCTACACAATTAATTAATATTCGTAACTACGACACTAATTTGTGAAGAAAAACATCGCAAATAATGCTATCATCTCGCATTTTTCTTTTTTGAAAATTTATATGTAATGCACAATTTTTAAAATATTTTACACGTTGAAACATTGAAAATGACCTAAGAGAGGTCGAAACGTTTGTTATATTTTATTGTTTATATTTTAACCCTTAGTCTTACTTTTGTTTGCGTCTTCTATGTAACTTTTAATTCTTGTCTTATAAATAATGTTTTCAAAATTATTAAAAATAATTTATTATTTGTTTTCTGGCTCGTAGCCCTTCTACACATATTATTTTAATTTATTGAGCCATACTATTTATATTAATTCTCAATAAACGACTTTTTTATTTTGTGCACTAAGTATAACATATCGCAGTTATTTTCTAAAAAATTGTAATCTGCAAATTGTAATGTTTTACTTATATATATGTATGTATGTTCATTTCGAATTTGCACCTTGAATAACATATCTGTTACCTTTCATAGTAATATATTATTTTTGGATAATAACACTCTTTTTGTATGTTCACTTTGAACTGGTACCTTTAATAATATATCAGTTACTTTTCATGGTAATTTATTGTTGGAGAAATAAATGTGTTTGAATTAATTGTGATATAATTTTTTTAAAAAAGAACTAAACCACTTGGGTTAGAATAGGAAGATCTTTTAATAAGAATAGAAAGACATATACTTAGATTTCATTGTATATATGAAGAAAGATAAAGATAGTACTACATGGATTTTACTATTTATTTTGTTTTAAGAAAATTTAAACCATTTGGATTGAAATAGGAAGATCTTTCAATAAGAACTACATGGGTTTTACTATTTAATTTAATAGAATTTAATAAGAATAGTACCACATGGGTTTTTAAAGACAGTAGAATTTAACTTGGCGCCGACTATTGATATCAGATCTTTTATACAAATAATATATGACATTATATGAGGACAAAGATAGTACTATACAAATAATGTATGTCATTATATGAGGACAAAGATATAGTACTACATTGGTTTTACAACTTATTTATTTTAAGACGAATTAAACCATTTGGATTGAAATAGAAAAATCTTTCAATAAGAATAAGAACTACATAGATTTTACTATTTAATTTAGTAGAATCTAATCAAAATAGTACCACAAGGGTTTTCAAAGATCTTTTATACAAATGATACATGTCATTAGATTTAAGAACTATATGGGTTTTACTATTTAATTTAGTAGAATCTAATAAGAATAATTACCACATGGGTTTTTAAAGATAGTAGAAGTTAATCTGTTATACCTTTACAAGAATAATCTGATTTTAAATCCTTTTCTTTCAGTAAATCTGAAAATACTGAAAACAAGATTTTGGAGTACATAAGAATCCTTTTGAAATTAATACTGATCTTTTGTGATTCATTTTTGAAATATTTCGATCTCTCACCTAGAACACTATATTTGATTCAAGATTTTAAAGCTCATATGTGTATGAGTTAACCAGTTTTCAATCACGTGTATCTTCATAAGTATACGTTTACAAATTATTATTATAATTAATAATTAATGTTGTGATGAACGATTGTTTTGTTAATCAATTTTGTAATGACATTATACCAAATTTATTAGCGTATTTGATTATATATATGTAATAGGTTTTGACATTGGAATTAATACATATTCACTTCCATTGCATATATTATCTTTCATAATAAAATGTATTAAACAACTAATATAATGAAATAAGGGCAATGAGCCAATTTTCATTAAAATCTTTAAATCAATCTAATATATTGCGAAGAATATCACGTAATTATGGCGTTTCGTCCCAACTTCCACTACTGGACTCATCAGTAAGGCATTGTAGTGGAAGCCTACCTTAGACGCCTGTTTTAGTTATTAAATCGAGATTCTATGTATACAGATATACGCGTATCAAAGCACTTGCGAGAATCTTAGCGAATATCTATAGACCTCTGATGGCGAGTCGACGTAGTAATATTCTTCGCAATATATTATTCAAAGTAATATATGTATATGTATTCCCTTCCTACCCCCCCCCAATTTGCGCGCCGAACAATCGTCGGTCTTGAAGTTGGGACGAAACGCCATAATTACGTGATATTCTTTGCAATATATTAGATTGATTTAAAGATTTTAATGAAAATTGGCTCATTGCCCTTATTTCATTATATTAGTTGTTTAATACTTATTGAGCCTTATAATAAATATTTAATTTACGCGGGTGAAATCAATGCGTTTAAAATTTCAAGTAAATTAAGGGGACGTTATTTCAGTTTAGAGTTGCGTTTCAAGACCGAAGATAGTTCGGCGCGCAATTTTGGGGGGAATTTTCAGATAGAGTTGCGTTTCAAGACCGACGATTGTTCGGCGCGCAAGTTGAGGGGGGGGTGGGAAGGGAATACATATACATATATTACTTTGAATAATATATTGCGAAGAATATTACTACGTCGACTCGCCATCAGAGGTCTATAGATATTCGCTAAGATTCTCGCAAGTGCTTTGATACGCGTATCTGGAGACACGGTAGTGTCTCGGCGCTAAGCCAAGCGCGCGACACTGCAGTGCCTCCTTTACGCGAAACTGAGAAATTTCGGGGTCGAGATGATCAGATCTCAGTAACGGCTAAACCGATCAAGTTCTACAAACGCTCAATCGACAGGAAATACTTAAATTATATAATAAAAGTGCTTTCATTTTTTTCCTACGTGCCCTACGAGCGGAGATATCGCGACGCAAAGTCCGAATCTGTGAATTTTCACGTTTCAATTTTTAA